ATATATATACATATACACACACACATACATATACATACATATATATATATATACTTTTTAAAATTTGTTCATATATAACATCACTAACTGCCTATGCCTGTATAAAGATCACGCCAAACTCTTCACAGCCATGAGCTCCATCCAAATCACCATCTCAGGTGACATTCCCACTCCTTCATCCGTCTGACACACTGTCGCCCCCCTCAGGACAAACGCAGTGGTGCATGCCATGGTCTCAGTCCAGGCCCCTTCGTAGGAGTGTCTGCACCCTGACCAGGATGGCTCAGTGCTCACAGACAGGGCCCTTCTCCCTCCCTCCCCACCCCCCCACATCCCCAGAGCCACGATCGGGCCCTTTGCTAACGGGATGCTGGGGAGACATTTATTATTTACAGGCCACAGCCCTGTTGGGGATAAGGTGGAGAAAATGTCTAACTGCCCTTCCCGGGGTCCCCTTCCTCATGCCCTGCTCCCGGCCGGAGCCCTCAGACCTTGGCGCTGAGGGTGAGCAGCTCCAGGAAGGAGTTGAAGAGGCTCTCCAGCCAGCCCTGGTTGGCCATGCACTGCTGCACCACTTCCTCCTGCCCGGGGTCCTCTGCCGCCTGCTCGATGCTATCCGTCTGCGGGTGGGGGTGGGGGTGTTCACTATCCTGCTTTTTTACAGTTTGTGGATATGCAGGGGTGGGCGTTCTGCTCCCCCCCAGTGTCCTTACCTCTCTCTTACAGTGCAGGAACGTATGGTATTTGTAATGATGCAGCGAGTGATACAGGCTGTAGATGCGACACGTCTCTGTCGACAGCTTAAGGTCCTGCGAATGGAGAGAGAGAGAGAATGAGGGGCAGCAGTCAAGGGGAAATGTCCAGCCAGTGATGTCATAATGGGGGAGGGGGGGTTGTGGCTGGTGAGGGCGTAACGGGTTTGGCCCACCTGCTGCTTGCCGACGCTCCTCTTAATGCGGTTCAGGGTCTTGCGGTTGTAGCCGTCGCCACCGAGGCGAACCCTCACAGCTCCCGCGTCCAGGGGGTCGGCTGTCATCTGGGGGAAGCAGTGCAGGGCTTCCTGGAATAGGGGAGGGGCACAGCGGCGGCAGAGGCTGAGCCCATGTTTGCCCCAGCACTCATTAGCTGTGTGTCAGGCGGCTGCCCGTGGGGGGCGCTGGTGGCAAACCTGGTGCTGCGAGCTCATGTTGACCCTCCTGAGCAGCCTCCTCTTCTGCTCATTCAGGATGCCGTCAATCTTCCTCATCGGTGGGAGGTACAGCTCGTCTACGAGAGGGAGTAACATGGTTAGCCGGTGAGCCTGATCCTGCCTGGCTGGGGGATCTTTCCGGAAAGCTCACCGTGCGTGTCCTCCAGGGCCTGGATCATGTCGGGGTCTAGCGCAGTGCTGACCAGCATCTCCACGTAGCTGCGGAACATCTCCCGCATGGCGCGGCTGCCGGGTCCCCCCCTGAGCAGCGGCGCTGCGTCACATACAGCCAGTCGGTTACTCGCTAACGTACGCACACCCCCACATCCAAACTCCCACCCCCCACAAAGATTCAGCAATCTCACCATCGTCCTCGCTGGGGGGGTCAGGGGACGACTCGGAGTCTGACGAGGAGAGAACCTCCTTCAGCCACTTCTTCCTCTTCTTGGGCGGGGGCTCCGCCTTCACCCTGACGGGTCGGACGCGTGCCGGGCGCTCCACTTTCCTTTCCCCTCCTCCTTTCCTGTCTTCCTTCGCTCTGCCTCGTTCTACTCCTCTACCTCTCTTTTCTACTTTCTCTGGGAGTGCTACCAGTTTCTTCTCTTTCTCATTCTCTCTCTCCTCCTCTTTCTCCTTTTCCCTCTCTTTCTCCTTCTCCCTTTCCCGCTGTTTCTCCTTCTCCCTCTCCCGCTTTTCCCTCTCTCTCTCCCGCTGTTTTTCTTTCTCCTTTTCCCTCTCCCTCTCTTTCTCCTTCTCCCGCTGTTTCTCTTTCTCCTTTTCCTCTCTCTCCACACGGGGTGGGGTTTGGCTACGGGCCGGGGCAGCTGGCTTGGGGAGGGACTGGCGTCTGTTGGGGGGAGAGAGGCACACGGGCCATGTGGACAGTGTTACCCGATTTTAATCCTGGGGGGAGGAGTACATGTTCTGTAGGTAGGACAAGGACTCAGGAACTGAGGCTCTGAGCCATGACTAAAACGGGCCATGGAATTTGTCCTGGGCACACCTACCTGAGTGCTAACGCGGGTCTGTGCCAGGGCTTTCGGGAACACACCCTCACGTAGTCCTTCTTGTTGACGTTTTCCAGGAACTTCACATAGAGCCTCTGATAGCGAGTTTTTGCATCCCCAAAGTACCCAAGATACTGGGGAAAAAAGAGGCACATGAGAAACACTGCAGCATATCCATGGGAGGTGGGGGGGGGGGGGGGGGCTGAACTTTGTCAATATAACCCAAAACCCAATGTGGGGGGTGTCTATGCATATGCCCCCCCTCTAGTCTCCCAGGGAAAAGAAGAGCCACTCACGTTGCTGGTGGCACAGAACTGTCGCTGTCCATCTTTGATCTCAGGCGTGAACTTCTGCAGCAGGGCTTTCTGCACCCTCCAGATTGGTGGAGGTTCCCGGCCAGTTTGCAGAGCGAGCTGAGGGGGAAGGCAGAAGTTACACCCCCTGGAGACACACGCATCGCCCGGGATGCGACAGGGACAGTCTGTGCACAGGAAGCATAGCATGCACAGAAGAAGCGTACAGACTGAATACAGGAAGCCCTAGACACACATGGGAACTACACAGGACAAACACAGGGAATGCACAGGAAGCACACAAGGAGCAAATGGGAAGCACAACGTAAACACGGAGGAAACAGCACAGACCTTGAGGGCACTAATGTCTTCAGTTCGGACCACAAACTCATCCCTCTCACGGAATATGCCCTCGCCGCCGCTCTCGCTGTCCTCGCCCTCCGTTTCTCCAGCTATGGCAGCGCCCGCCTGCTTTTTGGCTAGGTGTAGTGAGGTGATCTGGGGCACGGGGGGGTCCTCTGGGGTCGGAGGTGAGGCTGGCTCTGGGGCTGGGGGTGGCGAGGTAGACCGGGGCGGAGTTGCAGATGGAGGGAGCGTGGGTGGGGGAGGGGAGGGAGATGGCAGAGCGGGAGGGGGGGGGCTGGAGGGCAGAGAACGAGCTTCGTCCTGTCGGGGAAGGGGGGAGGGCAGAGAAAGGGGAGGGGGAGGAAGGGGGGAAGGAGAGGATGAGGAGGATGACGATGGGCGAGATGGGGACAGGGATGGGGGGGAGGTAGGGGCAGAAGCCGGCGCTGCAGGAGGCGCAGATGGGAAATCTAGTCGAGAAAGAAAGAGGAGTAACAATTTTTCTATTATCTGGTGCCATTTGTCCTAAAAACCCACATTTCACTTTTTCCTTGTTGACAATTCAGGTCAAAGGAAAGAGAAAGTGACAGAAGGGAGGACTTCCCGCACAAACACACCGTCTTCATCATGTCCGTCCATCGTATTGGCTGCTGATTTGCTCTCGTCCTCCTGGACTGGCTTGCTGTCTTCCTGTTCATCTTCCTCCTGTTCTTCCTCCTTGTCTTCCTCTGCCATCTCCCCCACATCTTCCCGCTCGAGCTGTGCGGGCTCCAGGGGCTGGGCGCTGCCCCGTGGCGGCGGCTGTGGGCTGAGGGTGGGCGGGGCCTGTGCCGGCGGTGTGCTCGGGGAAGGTGTGACGGGCAGGACCATCGCTGGGGGCGGGGGCTGCAGGGTGTCATAGAGGGCAGAGATGGCGGAGGAGATGCTCTTCTGTAGGTCTTGATTCTTGCTGACAGAATCCTCCTCGTCGGAGGAGAAGGAAGGCAGTGTCTCCAGGTTCCGCTTTAGCTCCTCGTCCAGCCGCTTGCAGGGGCTCGGACAGCCACCCAGGGACAGCCCCCCCTCACCATCCCCATCACCAAATGGGGGCACAGGCTGCGGCGTCATCGTGGGGGACAGTGGCCGGATGCCACCCTTACTCGGGGAGGAGTCGGTGCCCATTACAGAGGCTACAGTATCGGATGGAGCTCCGGAGTCTGGGGGCCTCTTGCCGGATTTGAGGAAGTCCAGAAAGGAGGCCATGAATCCAGACTTCATCTCTGGTGGCTTCTCCTCCACCTGGAAAGAAAGGAGAATGAATCTCAAGCAGAACTGGCGACTTGACTGGACTGTGTCTGCAGGGGGCGCTGCTCACCGTGCTGGACATCTTGTGCATGGCTGCCCAGGCCTCGGAGGGGAGCTCCTCATCCATGTCTCCATCCCACACAATCTGAGGAAAGTAAACAGTGTCAGCGTCATAATTACGAGAAGGATCTACCGTTGAGTACAGCCAGCCGAAACTTTATGAAAATATCAAACAGTATGCAATGATCTAATCGTTTCATTTGATTCTCAGCACTCCTCACCTCTTGGGACTTGGACTTCATTTTGTCTTGGGTTCTGTTCAGGTCCAGGCCAGTAGTGGGCCCAGGGCTCAAGCCCAGGGATGGAGCAGATCCAACAGAACCATCAGAAAGAACCGGGTCATTACTGGACAGAGAATCGGTCCTTAATAGGGAGTCGGAGGGAGGCATGGAAGCGATGGGCAGTTTGATCTAGGCGATAAAGGTTTAAAGTGAAAGAGCAGAAAACGGCATCGTCACGTACAAACAAAATGTAACATCATTGACGTGCAACCATGCTTATCCTGCTTAGTCATGGGGGGCCTGACTGATCGGGAGAAGGTATATCAGAAATGTAGGGGCTGTGAAAACTGCTCACACACGGAGCCGACCCGGCAGCAGTGAAACCCCCTGGGCCATTGACCCAATATGGTATCAGTGTTAAAAACGAACCGATCAGAGTGGTTCCCTCCAGCCTCATACCTTTATGGGTCTGATGGGCTCCTGCTGCATCGCTGTTTGGTGCTGATGCTGCTGATGTTGATGCTGATGAAGTTGATAATGCTGGCTATTCCCTTTATTCGCCTCAGCCACACCGTGCATGTCCATCATGGCTGCCGTCTCCTCCTTCCTGCCTCGCCCTCTGCCCCTCCCCCTGCCCCGCCGAATCTCTCCCCCTGGCCCCGAGCCCAGTCCCATCATGCCCCGGCAGTGGGGGGGCTCTGGGAGGGGGCGGATGCGGGGTCTGCCTCGGGGCCTCGGGGGCCCCTCCCGTTTTGGCTTGGTAGGCTTCCTGCCCCTTTTCTTTGGTCCGCCTTGGGGTATAAGCTGGGGAGGGGGCCCCAGGGACGGGTACCCAGGCGGATGGCAGAAATCCAGATCGCTCACCAGGGAGGCGCCGGCACCAGACTTCCTGCAGCTGGACACCAGGTCTGGCAGGAGGTCGGGAAGGTGCCCTGGCAGGCGCCGGCTGTTGAGACGGATGTCAGCAGGCACGTCAGCCTTGTTCTCATCGTCCTCAAACTCATACTCCTGGGCGTAGTGCTTCTTGGGCAGAGAGCTGGGGTCGCGCCTCTGCTTTAGCAGCTGGAACGAGCTGGTCTTCAGCAGCTTCTTGGGCCGTGATGAGCAGAAGATGGGCGAGGTGAGCCCGCCGCTGCCCCCAGCGGTCCGCTCTGTCCCCGTGCCTCCCAGCATCTTAGTCCCTCCGGCGTCACCCGGCCCGGTCCCAGACCCACCCATGGACAAGCTGGCCGGCTGTGACTGGATCAAACCCAGCTGCTCCGTGTTAACGGTGGAGGGCAGCTCATGAGCCTTCAGTGAGTCCAAGTCCAGGTGCACGGTGCTGGTCTCGGGTTCCGGTAGCCCAGGGCAGTATGGCCCGTACCCCTGGTCTCCATGGTGCTGCATCATGGCATAGCCACCGCCAGCCTCCCCCGCCTTCACCCCCTCCATGCTCTCCTGTGTGCTGCGTCCCTCCGAAATGCCCTCCTGCCCCGGCTGCCCAGGGGCCGCCCCCCTGCTGCAGCCGGCCTTATAGTCCTCTGGGCAGAACATGTCCTCCATGCTGGGGAAGAAGGAGCGCTCCTCATCTGGCAGCAGTGAGTCCGGGAAGCAGATGGAGGAAAGGGCCATGAAGCGCTGCTGGCTCTGACCAGACTTCCCAGCAGGGCTACCACTATCAAACTGGTGCTCTTTGAGCTGGTCCAGCTGGGAGTCCTGGTCTCTCTGTGCTGGGGGGGCAGGGTTCAGGGGTATGCGGTGGGGGTGGGAATGGGCGTGGGGGTTATGGGGCTGGGGGTGCTGCTGGTGATGGGGGTGAGCATGTGGGTGGTGTGGAGGCAGATGGTGCAGGTGAGGTGGGGGGACCAAGCCCATATCAGGTTCGGAGAGGAAGTCGTGCAACTCTGTGTGCGGGGGGGCGTGGCCGTGGTGGTGGGCGGGCCCTATGTGCTGCTGCTGCTGGTGGTGTCGCTCCCCACCGGCACCATCTTCTGCCCTCTCTGTCACACCACCCGGTTCCCTGCTTGATGTCTGAGACAGAGAGCGCTCTAGCATGTCCAGGGGGGACACCGAGTTCTGGCTGGATGGGTTCCGGTGCCGCGGGCCCCCACGACTATAGTGCGCCTCCAAACCCTGTGACTGAAGCTGCAGCTGGGACTCTGTGGTGCCCCCTGCTGGAGCCCCACCCATCATTGAGTGGTGCGCACCGTCCACCTTGCCGCGGGCCGTGTGGGACAGCACTGAGTGGAGCAAGTGAGCAGAGGCTGCCTGCTGGGGGGCATCTGGGGGGGAATCCATGAGCTGCAGAGATGCCGGGGGCTGGTGCTGGCCCTGATGCGGAGGCTGCATGTCAGGTGTTTTGCTCAGATACGGCAGTTCAGGGGGGTCGTGTGGCTTCTTCTGCTCCAGGTGAGGGTGTGGATGGGGATGTGGCCGCTGACTGTGCGAGGCGTGATGGCCGTGGGGGTGCGGAGAATAGGGGTCCCCTCGCCCAAAGTGCACCACAGAGCCCAGGGAGTCATGGGGATGGTGGTGGTGGGGTGGGGTGGGGTGAGCCTGAGGGTGCACCTGATCACCCCCCCTTCCTCGGCTGCCCATGCCAACCCCACCTCTGTCGCTCTTGGTCTGCTGCTGCTTCTTCATGGACATCTCCAACTGGCCATCGAGCCCGCCATTCCCACCAGATGAGGCCCCTGCACCAGAGGTGGCGCTATTGGTACGTATCACGCTCTGAAGGTGATACCGTTCTTCTGAGCTCTTGCTCAGTTTATATGCCAGTTCTTTGCTGCCATCTTGGCTCTGTGAGCCTGGCAGTGGAGGCGGGGCTTGAGATGTGGGCGGGACTTGAGGCGGGGCTTGTGCTGAGTGAGGCGTTGGACTCTGGGCCTGCAGCAGGTGCTGGATCAGGAAGTCATCGTCGTCGTCGTCGTCATCATCGTCTGGGGGCCGCTCTGGCCCCAGAATGTCCCCGTCAGCCTTGGTCTTGGCAGGGGCAGAGTGGTACGAAGGAGGTGGAGGCCCTCGGGTGTCAGGGTATGCCTGCGGGGAAGAGAGGAAGGCCGGGGACAGGACGGAGGACAGGTACTTATTGCTGCCGGCACCGCCAGGGGACTGGGCCGGACGGGGAGGGGCAGGAGAGTGCATGCCAGGGTGAGCCATCCCAGATCCACTTGAGGGAGAGGGACTGGAGTCCGGCAGATGATAGGAACCCCCCCCTGCGCTCCCGCCACCGCTCCCCCCACCCACAGAGCCCCCGCTTCCTGCTGACCCCGAGTTCCCACCCGCTGAGCCACCTCCTGACCCCAGGATGGCCGGGGAATGGCCGGGGCCGCCGTATCCAAGAGATGGGCTGCCCGCTCCCCCTAGTGCGGCCGGGAGGGTGGTGTAGCCCGGGTCAGCACCATACATGGCCTCCGTTGAGAACGGGCGGCCCACTGTTCCCGCCGCTGTGCTGTACCCTTTGCTGGAGCCACCCCCCCCTGCAGAACTGAGGTCCTGGGCCTGGGGGGAGCTGAATCCCCCATAGGGTTGGGGGCCAAGGTGCGGCCCAGGGGGCTGGCTGGGGGAGTACGCCTGTGGCTGCGGGGGTGTCTGGCTGGACAGCGCTGCTGGAGATGCCTTGAGCGACGGCACTGGGGATCCATAGCCAGACAGGCAGGCTTTGGGTGGGGCCTGGGGAGCCGTGGATGCAGAGACTTGTGGCGGGGGTGGAGCCTGTTGTCTAGATGGGGCAGAGGTGGGGCCAGAGGCAGGGTTTGAGCCAGAGGAAGAAGATGATGAGGAAGAGGATGCTGAGGAAGCAGAGGGAGGTGTGTGGGGAGTGCGGGAGGAGGAGCCCGAGCCGGAGGAGGAATAGCCACTGCTGGAGGAGCTCTTGGTGCCCTTTCCCACACCACCTGCTGAGGAGGAGGAAGAGGAAGAGCTGTAGGGAGGCTGAATGATGGGCCGGTAGCCTTGGTCCTGCCGGGGCGAGGGTTTGGGGTCTGAGGAAGGGCTCTGCTCCCCCAGTGGACTGCAGGACAGGCCCCCCCCAGGGCGGTGGGGTGCCAGCTGCTGGTAGCCTGAGGCGCTGCAGCTGAGGTAGTGCTGCAGGGGGTGGGCTGCCGCCGATGGGGGCAGCTGGGATTGCGACGGGGGAGGGCGCTGATAGTGCTTGATCACACTGTCCTGCCGAGGCAGGGCCCGCTCCTGGGGGGGTGGCTGGGGGGGGGCAGGGGCCGACGAGAAGACCGAGGTATTGTAGAGCTGGGAGGACTGGTCTTGGAGCTGAGAGGAGAGTAGGTTGAACTGGGGTGGCGGCAGGTGACGGCCAGAGGGGGCAGAGGAGGTCTGGGATGGGGGAGGTGGTGCAGTAGGGTCCTGCCCCCCACCTCTGTAGGCTGCGCCCTGTGACGACAAAAGGCGATCGAACCCGAGGCCAGACTGGGATGGCGTCTTGATGTGCAGCAGAGGGTCATGGGGAGACAGCAAGCCATTGGACGTGGGGCTGAAGGTGGGCGTGTCCTGGAGGGAGAGCGAGGGCGCCACCCCGGGGAAGGAGCGTCCCGAAAAGGAGGCTGGGTGCTGGTACGCCGAGAGCGCAGAGGAAGAGGCAAAGCCGCCAGAGCCTGGGAGGGCACCGGAGATGAAGAGCTCAGTGGGAGCGGGGGTGTGCATGGCTGCGGGCGGGAGGAGAAGGGGCAGGGTGAGCAGTAACCGACAACGGGCATCAGACAGACAGAGAGACAAATAGCTGGAGCACCGAGACGAGCACACGCTGCACTGACCTGTCTGCCAGGAAGGTGTGCGGAACTGGGAGAGTAGGGAGGAGGCGGAGGGAGGCGGCTGCGGAGCCCGTGACTCCAGGGCTGAGATCAGGTTCATGACGGAAGCATCTGGGCCTGAGGGGCTGGCGTGATGCAGGCCGGCGTCGAACAGGCCTGACAGCCCTGCAGCAACATGGCAGAGTGGCCGATTGCGTGAGCGGGTATGTGGCATCGGAGTGGGGGGGGGGGCGGCAGAGCAAAGACATGGCTGCTGATCAGACAGGAACATCTGCAGCTACCCCTGCAGGGACGTGTGCGACTCAAACAGAGTGAGAGAGCCAGCACCCAACAGGGAAAAAACCAGCATCATAAACGCAGTACCATAGACATTCTAAATATAGGCTTGGGTTTCCTTACCTAAACCACGCCCTGCTGGCCCCCAAGCCCCGCCCTGCCCAGAGCTGGCTGGGTGGTGATTGGTTGCATACCCCTGCAGGGGGTGGGGTGTGGCGTAGGCCTGGCGATGGAGAAGCTCGGAATCCGGGTGGGATGACCTGGTACTTCCGTACACCAGGCTGGGATGGAGACAGAGAGCGAGTCAGAACAGATACCAGCAACATTTCCTACAAAGTAACCGTACTGTAACACCGCAAAGCTCAAATATTAAACTACGAGAAAAGGGAATTTATTCACAATATTGAGCTGTAATTAAAGTCTGAGTTTATGTTTGTCATAAGAATGTACATGAGGACAGATACAGGGGGTGGACAAAATGAAAATACATGAATATATCAAGGGAGTGATGGGGAGTCAGCCTCGGTCCTTTTGTGAACCATGTCACATGGGTCCTGCTCCGTGTGTCCGGAGTTATTAAATCATCCAAGAACCCTTCAGTTCTTTCAGAGATGGAGGTAGAACTTTACTTCACACTCTGGTCTCCAGAACTTCCCATAAAGGTTGGATGATGTTTGATTTCATCCTGGTGTCCATGAAAGCACTTTATTAAATTTCTTTATCAATGTTAATGATGAGATTATTATCTTGGAATATGGGAGTATTGTGAGGGAACAGCATTGGCCCCGTAGACCTGTAAAACAGGATCTCAGGATCCTTGGTCCTCATACAACCATGCAGAACAGTCACTGGGCCCAGTGTCTCCCCTGCGAGGGCATTACGGATCCCCAACATTGTGGCTCGAAGGCATCCTTTGTCTTTCTCCAAAACGTAAAATGCATTTTTGTGCTTTCATCTTGGTTTCCCAAAACTGCCTACGATAAATTCCAGTCCTGTGAAGCCCATGACATACAGCGTTTTGCTGAGGCTGGGTCAGAGAGCAGCTAATTCAGGGTCTATGCTCATTTTTGAGGCTGTATTTTGCCGGATTTCAGCAGCTGTCCCGTTAAGTGTCCCCGTCCTCATGCAGTTTGTCCCAGATGCCGCTGTGATCATCGGGACGGCTCCCCTCGACACATTAAACAATCTTGCAGTCCCTGTGACCAATACACCTGCCATTCACAGACACAGACTCTGTCGCCTCATGTCGATTGAAAAAAAATCTCACATATGAAAGTGCTGAATGTCAGACCTGTTTTATAGCTGATACACATACTGCTGACTGGCATTCAGCCTAATATGAGTGACCTTTGTAGCTGCGTTTGTCATTGGAGTTTAGTTACTTCAAAATTAAAGTCCCATTTGTCTGCTGTTTTTTTTAATCACCCCCACTGGCACATAAATATATACACACGTGAGGCACCTTAAATAAAGAGGGAGACCAGGGCCATTGTCATTTACTCCTAATAATGAGGTGCATGAACATCACTAACAATGACCCTGTTAATGTGCTAATGACAGGCCTGTTTCAGGAGTGGAAGCACCACACTGCAAAAACACACCGCTTTACCTATCAAAAGGCTGCCTTTACATCCTATTCTCATTCACAGCTATAGCAATTAGTGACCCTCATCTGCATAAGTTACTAGCTTTTCTTTACATCGTAAATGCTGGATATTTACTGAAGTTATTTACGTTAAGCACTTCACTTAAGGCCACGGGAGAGCATGGTGACCCCCCACCCCCAACCTCACCCTCACCCCCACCATGGCCCAGAACCAATGTCCTTTTGATCATGAGTCTAATTCCTCACAGTGACCCCCCCACAGCTCAGGGAGCACATTCCAGTAGCAGAGGATCTGCCGTTATAAACTGAAAAGAAAAGGTACAGCGGCATGTTTGCTGTGGCAGGAAGCATGCGGGAGTCACGACGAGCTGAAGCGTGACGCGGCTCTGATGCAGGGCTTCCTGCGCAGTGTCGAAATGCCCAGAGTAACTGCACTGGAGCATCTGACCTGTAACTGGGGGTCCAGAATCTGCACCCACCACAGCACTGTGAATAAAGGAAAACAAGTTTATACTATCAACATGCTCAGGATAAGCAGATAAAAGATACATCTGCTCTCCATGGTGGATGAAATATTATGACATGATCAATAAAAAGGAATAGATTTTGTGGGAGATCTGAGCAGCTGTAGCTCCTACTTATCAATACCAATGAAAGCAGCAGCATCGATGGATGAACCAGCCTCCGTAGGGACGAGCCACAGCGTGACTGACCTCCGGGGCCTTCGGTGACATGAAGGCCTGTGCAGCTGGGTATCAGCATGAGTGGCGAGACAGGTCACCAGGGGACAGAGGGGCAGTGAGGGCAGGTCACCAGCGGGAAGAGGAGCAATGGGGCAGGATGCCATAAGCAGGACTGTTCAAATCATGGTCTTCAAGGACCTTCCTTTACCTGTGAGCCAGGTGTGAAGCCTCTGGCCAAACATAATAAGTAATTATTACACAACCTGTGAAAACTGAAAACAAGGTCTGGATTTGAATAGACGGGCCAGGGGGCAGGGG